TCCTCTCGAATGGTGAGTCATAGTTGTCGTCTTCAAAATTTTGAAGATAATAATTACGACGAAATGTGATTCACCTGAGAGATGCAAAGATACTACAGGGAAAGCCTGTGATGCGATTCAATAAATAATACGGCACTGGACATCGAACGAAACACTAGATGCTATCGACACCACCAAATAATGGGAGGAGCTTCAGTCAGCTACTGTATGGACGAAAGCAACAATTAGGGGCATACCCGCTGAAGTTCCTTCTCTTTTTATGGTTTTGTCGCTTGCCAATGGGACATGAAAAAATAATAATTTTTCGAAAGCAAGATAATCATGAACCACCCAGTTTTGGTACTTTATCATACACTTCATCGGCTTTGCCTTTCTACACTAAATTAGGCGTCCGGTAGAATATCAGTGTCCATCCAGCTAAAGCTACTGCTCTTTTTAGTTTTTCTCGTTAAACTCCTTCCCTCAACAAGTTGGTAAATCTTAGCCTTTAGCAGAAAGACGCTTAAACCTTTTTTCGGCGAATTTATGATCCTGTTTCACGTCATGGTCCTTCTCTATGCCTGTTCAGATGAATTAGTGCTTTAATTTATTTTCTCTACTTTGCTAAATCAAACGAGTAGAAATAAGAAGGGATGTCGGTGACGTGCTCGAATAATTAACAACTCGATAAACATTTATTCGAATAGCTGGAAAAATCTTTACGTTTAATCGTTAATCGAATAATTGGACTTTTAGGCATCCTCATAAAATAGTGTAATTTCATGTTTTGGGTGGACTTTCGAAAATGTCGAACAGAAGAATTGCAACCAGCAAGTGTAACCCAAGAACCAAAAGCGGTACAATGCTAGTTTTCATTGCTATGACGACGACTGAATTTAGGGGCTTAGAGGCAGAGGGGGAAAGTCAATTCTCTTCATAGATTTCCTCTTTTGATGACCATGGCTTCACTAACCTATTTTGCACTGCTTCTGCTATGCTTTTCTATCATCCAGAATAACAAACGTATAAATGAATTTGTTAGCCGTCGAGTTATTAACGAAACAGAAAGTCGATGAAGAGAATCGATCAAAATCACTTGCACCCTTGCTTCCAAGTTTGGTTACAAGACTAAAACTCTGGAGAGTATTTTGTATGGTCGTTGGGGGCGTGTCGTTCTGAATATGGCGATGAGTGTGCAAAATGTTACGCAATTACATCCTCCCTATTCGCACACGCCCGAAGATCGGAGGCGAATGCCACTTCGACTTGTTTCGTCTACTAACGACTCTCTAATGACAGTGTTGGGGAAGCAGCATATGCATGTACCTAATTGATGGATTTGTTAGTTTTTTCGACGCTGCGAGACAGTGCATGACATTTACAATTATAGATTCTTGTAGAAAACCAGCAGTCGGAACCACTTTTACCAATGCGATCGATGCGTAGAAATATTTCTGATCGATTGGTGATAAAATTATTGAAATTGATGCAGGGGCAGCTGAGTTATTAACGCTCAAATTCTTTCACAATTTCGTTACATGTTCGATTTTAGTTTTTCACTCAGTGTTCCCCCAAAAACCTTCAAATTGACGTTCAAAGATCATGAATTGTGTATTTGGTTGTGGAGTAATCTCTTCTGAAATGTTAAATTTTCAAAAAAATCGAAAATACAGGGTTGTATCCCCGAAGGATCTAGGCACTTTAGAGCAAAATCCAAAAAGGTGTTTGTTCAGAATGTCTAAAAAAAGCGTTTTGGCCAAGTTTGGCTCATATAGGTGACATCCACCACAGGTGGTGTACCCACTTGAGCTGGAATGACCCATATCAGTTCTAGAAACATGAGCACACGGTTCACTTAAATTCATATTTTATTCATGAATGCAATGTTTATTGAACTGATAAATGTTCAAGAACTAATTTGGCGAAGTTATTAGAACTATCAAAATGAACCATTACTCAAAAAACTGTGGTGAACTGCACCTGTTCACGAAACCATGCGGTTTACCAAGGTTTTTGAAAACGCGGTTTATGTTAAATGCTCTAATTTCTTCGTCACGCTGGTTCTTGATCTTTTAATTGGGAAATAAACATCTACTCCGCGATAAAAACTGTCCGGAGCAGCCTCGGTTCACTGTTTTGAAATTAAACTATTTCAACTAGTTTAACTATTTCCATATATATAATATTGTGTTTTAAAAATAACGCAACACATAAATCTTAAATTATTATTCATTTCAATCCTGAATCATGAAAATTGTTGGTGCTCCAAATCCTAAAACCTTATAAAAATTCAAACATTAGAAACTTTGAAAAACGTCAAGTCCCAAAATCTTGATGATTTTTTAGACAGTATTTTAAAAATTCTTTCAGAAATTTCTTGGATCGGTTTTTCTTTGATTAAATATTACAATTCTGAGTTAAATTTCCAATTTCAAAAAATCTGGACTCTTAAGAATCATCATCAACTTTAGTAATTAATAACTAGAGCCTGGATTTAAGACAACGGTATAATTTGGCCTATACCATAAACTATTTTGATGTACAGCTTGGAAAACCAGAGCTCGTCTAAAGTTGTGGATACAATCTAGAATCCATAGACCCATTTCAAATTGACTTACACACAGCAACAACATTTTGACAATTACACAATAACGATCACTGCACTTCCGGTTGTCAAATTAGTTTTAACCACACAAAAATTAAAGCCCACTATTTATCAATTCAATTTTGATCCCGTGCGCAGCAACAAAAGCTTCCTCAGCTCGTAAAATTTTCATCTGCGATAACATGGCTTAGTTATGTTTACATTTCTTTCTCAGTCAGTCACCACACAGTGAAAGGGTGGCAATGTTACTCGATTTCTATTCCATATTACACACACGCATACCGACACACGGCCATCAGCCCAAACAAGATTTTCTCCAGTCGCGTAACTCTTCTTCGGGGAATTATTTCATTCAAAAAACGCTCCATGACTACATCATCATCATCAACATGACCATCACCACCCATGTGATCCATGTACCGATCGTGTGTGTGCCGTAGTAGATTGCGCACACATGAACGGATTCGCCTCAGCTAGTTTGGTTGTGGGCCTACGACTTGCATAAAACTCGTATGCACAAACCCTGGTGGAAGCGAAAGTTGTCTGAGCACCGGAGTGTTGGTGCATTCAAAATATACGAGTAGAAAAAAAGTGGCTGTTTTTTGCGTTGAGCAATTCACGCCAATCCATTGAAGAATAAGACGGAGAAAAAGCCAAAGAAGGGGCTCTCGCTTCTGTCAATGGAGATAGATCGTCCAGAGCCCCCGCCGACGGTCGTCTGGTGTACCTAAGTGGTTGACATTGACAGGTGCGGTTTTTTGAGTAAGAGCTCTCTTGGCAGTGGGAGAAAATTCAACGAGCTGGCAGCGAAAAGAGTAAATAAGGAAACTTTCCTCATTAGGGAGCTGCACATACATTGTAGAAGCTCAGATACCAGAGCTGACGATGCAAGAAAATTGGATAGAGAGTGTCACTATGAACTTCTTGGTCAAAGTTTCCAATTTCCCAAAGCTCCGGAAGTGCATTAGTTTTTGCTCAATTCATTAACATTGTTGCTTTGTTAAAAAGTCACAAATGGAATCGAGAGGTCATAAGTTGAAACCATTCGATAATTGCGCAGAAGTCAGAGTTCAAATAGTCTCGTTGAGTCGGCAAAAAGGCCGGGTTGGCAAATGCAAAAAGAAATCTAATAAATTGAACATTGGACACCGAAAACCATTTCAACCTGGTCGAAACCGACATTCCAAGGTGCACATTTGGTTTTGGTCTGGTTGCTGTGCGAGATTGGCTTCGGAATAATTGCTACCTCTCACTCTCTCTCTCTCTCTGTGTTTGGAACTAGCACGGATTTCGTAACAACGACAGGGGTACAGACGTGCGCACACAATTGGAACATGGATTGTTCCTCTAGGCAAGGGAATGATTTTGAACTGTTGACACCCCTAAGGTGGTGACAACTGGTTAGAATTGAAAGGTAGTATCGACGGCAATCGTGACTTGTCACTGTTGTCACCTTATTCAGTTGAGAACATGTACTGGTTTAATCTTGTATTGAAGTAGAGGCATTAGGAGGAATTTTCGAATCAGGACTTGTCTGAAGAAACCAAATTTAGAAGTGATTATCATAGTTAAAACACGTAACATTAATTCATTTTCTAGTATTCTTGTTGATCAAAAATTCCCCTTTTCTATTGATGCTTTCAACAGCAGCAGACACATTCAATGATAGAAATACGGTGCATTCCAATAAATACATGTTTGAACTTAAATCACCAGCAGGATGTATTGTTAATTAAAATTTATGATTAAAGGTAGACCTTTTTTCTTTTCAAACCCAGTTGAAACTAATACAATTATGATTCAAGTAACCAAAATCGGTCAACATTATCGAATTGGATACAACCAAACTACCTGCCATTCTCATCCTCATAAAAAAAATTCCACAGCAAACCAACCAAATTGAAAATTATCTCCAATAATCATTACCATTGAAGAAACCGACTTTCAACGCTTTTGTTTTCCCCATTGCAAACCTTTCCCTCGGCAATTGTGTCTTCAACAATTTCCCTATTCCGCACTTCCATAAACCCTTTCGCTAATGAACCTCATCGCACCATACCGACCGGAGTCGCGGTGAACGAGCAATCATTACCACCACGCTGTATTTGCAGTACTCTAGCCGTTGCAACCGACCAACCGACCAACCAACTGCCCACCAACCAACGCCCATTTTGCTAAACCTATATCTGTTTTCGTTTTCAATCACGCAATCAAGAGGGAAAACAGTTTTCCAGCCCACTCGCTCGCTCGGAAAGAGGAAAAACGTTATCAGCAAATGCAAAAAAAAACGCTAAACCAACACTCTCCACAGTTTGTTTTTTTTTTCGGAACTCGAGGTGCTCGAAATAGTGAAATATGGAACCGCGCGTTGCGCGATTCGATCGATTAAGTTTCATTGATTGTTTCTTTTTTGCAGCAAACGAAAAACAAAATCCGTGTTAAACAAAACCAAGTGAAGCAAGGCCCCTCGGTGGGTAATTTCCGCTTGCAGCAAGCAACAATAGATAACCCCGCTGAAATATATAACATATGAAAGGATACAGCAACAGTAGTAGTACCAGAAACAAGCGGAAAAAGTGAGGAAATCAACGTGTTGAGACAAAGCAAACCATACAACAAGTGCCCGAAGTGATAGCAAAGTAACATAGCGAAAATAGAGGTGAACCAATAAATCAGTGCATGAGTGTGCGTATGGTAGTGAATGATTTCGGAAAATATCGGAATTAATTTCGGAGTGCGTCACGGTTTGACCCCTCCGAGCCAAGGGAGCCAAGACACAGCGTTTTGCAGTCCTTCTTCTCGTGTGCAACCCAAACGGTAAGTTTGTTATTTTGTTTTCGCGGGTTTTTTGTTTTATTTAGTAGCAGTGCGGGGCTTAATCTGTATCTTAATGCACTTTTGAAAAGGTCACTTCGTGGCGGTGTTTTGATTTATTGAGCAAATTTGCAGTTTTAAAGCGTTACGGTTTGCACAACGGTGCGGGATATGGTGTGAATTGAGCTCTGGAGGTGCAATTTGCATTCGTTGTGTGTATGCCGATAAGTGGTTTGATTTTGGTTTATTCAGATGAAATGGATCGATAACTGGAAGATTCGTTAGATTCAGATGTGTACAAGTCCTAAATTCGTCTTAAAATTTGTCTCAACTGTAAATATCATCTCTTTTTAATGATGCAAGAAATTTTGCAGAATTGGATATCAATTTGGCGCATATGGAGGTTTCAACTTTATTAGTAACATTTTCGAGCGATTTGAAAATGGTTGTACGTGATACAAATGCAAAGCACAATTCGATCGGGTATCTATCAGGATATGATTTGAAGATAATCGTCTTTCGATGCTATTTCAGATTTTGTATTCCTTCTTACAAGTGGATTTTTTTTTTCGATTTTATGATCGATGAGTACTCACTTTTAGTGAATGTTCACCGATCGTACAATCGCTGATTGTGATTCTCTGAAAGCACAATTGAATTTTTTTTTGTGTTAATCCAATAAATTACAATCTCTTTTTGTACTTTACATATTTAAAATATCATCATATAATTATATCATATGATTTCATAAAATTCCGAAAAACATTTTATTTCAGCAACCTTTTTTTTTTTTGTTTCGACCTTGATCAGATGTATATTTTGGCACCATTTTAATCTACCTCGCAATAGATAAATGATGGCCAAATGTGTTTAATTTTCAATAGCCCATCTTTCTGATAACAACTTACATTTTACCCTGATCTTAAACCGATGTTATTTAGGATTATTTAAGTAACTACTGCATTTTTTTTAAATTTCACCCACACGTAGAGATCGTATGAGCATATGAGTGAAGTTTCTGATTTACCTGGACATCACGTATGGGAAATGTTGGCTTCGGCAATACCTTTACATATAATCCTCATGCGGTTAAATTAATCTTAACGTGTCAAGGGGTTCAGCCGCTACGTGTTTAAAAAATTGATTTTTTTTTTTTTTTGGTCTTAAATGATAGTTTAGAGTCTAACCCAACAAACAATCGCCTATTGAAGAAACGACTTCTTGACGATTTTTTTTCAACTGCATGCTTAATAAGAATTGTACAGAGTGTCGACTACCTGAAATCAGGGAATTTCTTTTTGGATCTGGAAAATCAGGGATTGCCAGGGAATTTCATTGAAAATCAGGGAAATATTTCTTTATAACAGAAACAAATTAATATGTATGGCTGACTTCGCTAGTTTCAAACATTTTAATTATTCGTTGTAGTTTGAGGATGGTTTTCAATTTAAAATTTTAAATAGAGTTGCAAAGTTGTGGTTGTTCAATGCTTGATGTTGCAGTTTTGCAAGTGGAGCAAAAGTTACTCAAATAAAAGGGTATTTCGATGATTTTGAGCCTATTATAAATTCAGCTCCCACTGGGTGTTGTCACATTCCTGAGTTGAACCGAAATGTAAATTCAGTTCCGTTCCGTTCAGACGTTGTTAGTTGTTGCAAAATTAAGCTGCTTATGGGGAATGTGCGGCTCTTAATAGATGAATTGCGTCTGACAAAATTTAACCTTCAAGTAGATTCTCCGTCTGCTCGATCTAGCTGTGTTCAACAAAAATCAATCTCTTGAGCGGATTGGATCGCTTTTGCGTAAATGCAAGAATGATTAAGAGTTAAGCTGGGCTTAGACAAGGCAAGTCATTGATCAACTCAGTTGAATTCAATTGGCTTGAAAAGTTGAGCCTGGTTCCACTTTTTTCAATTCAAGACAGTTAAATGACATAGTTTACACGTTCAAGTCAGTTGAATTCAACTGAGTTGATCAATTGACTTACCTTATCTAAACCCAACTTTACGAGAAGAAAATGATTTTTTTTTTTTTTTGTATAATTCTAGTTCTTGTTCCTAATTGTGTTCCTAACAGCTTGATTAGCTCAGAGAACTAGCTAAATGAGAAATTAGGATAATGGTCTTGCTTGGGAGTTTTTTTTTCTATTCCTTGGAGTTGCACTTTTATGATTCAAATATACGTAGACAAGCATTGCTTTGACAGTATACCGTATGCGTGATAATGTTTGCACCATTGAGCAATGTCAACATTAAAAACAATTCTCAAAAATTTCGTTTTCGAGTTTTTTTTATGTATTCAAAGGGGGGATGCTTCTCAGAGTCTTAAACTATGTTAATCATCGATCGAGTTTCCACTTGCTGCAATTACGGTCTCCACACGCTTCCGGAATGCACGGCAGGTTCTAATAATTTAATCTGGATCCATTTCTCTCCAGGTACAGGTCAATGTTTGTCTGAGGCTTGCTGTAGTCGGGTGGCGTTTAGAACAGGCCTTGGCCTTCATGACGCGCCATATTGAGTAAGTATTGAGTATTGAGTATCCAGCTGATTAAGATCGGGGCTGGATGGCGGCCACATATTCTTCGCCCAGAACGGAAGATGTTCCGGCAACCACTTCTGAGTGCGGTTCGAGGTGTGGCACGGAGCCCCATCTTGTTGAAATACAACATTTGTCTTCGGACCGTACTGCTCTTTGATCCACGGAAGAACATAATTACTTAAAATTCCGATGTAGACCTCCGTGTTGACCTTGTAGCCTTCTGGATTGAACACCGGGTCCATTTTTTTGCCATCGGAAGCTACCAATCCAAACACCATAACGCTAGCAGGATGCTTGGTCAAATACACGTTCTTGTGCTCGTCGGTCACGTCTTTTACCGGAAGAGAACTAATATACCGGTCGATTCTGAAATTTAATACAGGATCGACGGTAAACATGCCTCTCGTCGGTGAACAGGATTACCGGATTTTTTCGTTTAAGGAAGTTCAAGATTTTCTTGCATCGTTCGACTCGTAGCTCCCGGATGCGGTTGGTAATCTTGTGAGTTTTTTTTCCGTGCCCTCGACTTCGCCCTGCAATCTTCCTTTTCGATCTTCCTTGCCGTAAAGTCACTGATCCCGTGTTCCTTTGCCATTTTCCTTATTGAACGCACTGGATTCACCAAAATCTTCCTTTTGATAGCAGCGATAACCCTCAGAACCCGAGCTGACCTCGGACGACCTGTGGCCACCTTCGCGGATAGCTGTCCTTTCTTTTCTCGGTCTAAAACCCTTTTGTCGGTCCACCGGGACACTCCCACGGCGATTGAAATGTCTTTTTGCGACATTTGCGCGTGGAACAAATCACGAATACGCTGCCACTTCGTCATGGTGCAACTGTCAAACTAAGTAAATCATTTTCTTTTATACACAGCCTACTACGGTATGAGCTATAGGTTACGTGCATGCAAAGAAAACCAAGGCATTGTATGCACAGGTGAAACGGGAACCTTATTTGTACGATGGTGCAAACATTATCACGCATACGATAGAGTGGTATTAAGTATTCTAGGTCTTCATTGTAAACCTGGTTGACTCGTAAAATTAGCTTCACAGTAAGGTTTTAGTATGGTAATGTTGCTGCTATTGCAGTTTAGATGGAATTACATTACAGAATTTTCTTTACATTACAGAACATTTCGTTGTTTTTACTATTTCCCATCGGAGGAATCCGCCCGCGAATTAGCTTTTGGTTAAACATATTATCCTGAATAATTTTCTTGCGGAGCTGGGTCTCGTAATGTGCTAAAATGGGATTAAAAACAAGTGTTTTATATGTGAAATTCAGAGTGACCAGTGAACCGGGAAAACCGGAAAAAGCTGGAATTTGAAGTCACCGGGAAAATCCCATGAATTTAGTTGACAAATCTGGAAAAATATACCTCGTCCTCTCTCCGAAAACAATAAGATTTCAAGACCCTTGGACTGGTCTAGATGCTCAGGATAACTACAGTCACCTTGAAGAACTATTAAGAAAATTTTAGATTTTTTTTTCCAAAAGAAATTTGAGCAGATTTTAAAATGAATTCTAGAGATAACACCAAGAATAGAATATTTGCAGGGAGCTTTTGGAAAACCTTTAGGAGAGTTTTTACTAGATCTCCCAAGAGTGAAGAGGATTACATTATTCTTGTAAAATACAAAGGAACGCGAATTTTGAGGGTACAGTTCCAAAATAATTAGGCGAAGATTTATAAGGAGTATAATTCCAAGCACATTTCGAAAAGAGATTTCTAGAGAGTGTAAATGAGAATTCCATGCAATTTTCAGACAAATTCCTACAAAACTCCAAGATAATTCTGAGCAAATTTAAAGACAATTCTCGGCAGGAGAATTTCCCTTGCCAGATGGTGTTCGCAGGGAAGGGGGATTACAAGTTTTGCTCACAAAAGCTAATGGCTCTTTTCAATTGTTGGTCTGAGGTGAATTCTACGGAGAATTTCATGCAAATTAAAAAAAAAAGCTCAAGTGAATTCTTAGAATAAGTTTAAAATTCCAATAAAGGATGAGTTTTAAGAATTTTTTGGAGTGTTCTAAAGAGAATTTCTGTACTATTATACAAAAAAAAAACAAGGGATTTCCATAGATAATTTCAAATTTATTTTAGAAGAATTCTGGAAAGATCTCTGTGAACGGAAATTAATCTTAAGGAAAGGCTGAGAACAATCAAATAAAATCCTGTAAAGTTTTGAGCAAAATTTTCATAAAATTGTGAAGACTTCGATCCAGCAAAGATGCTTCTGTCTTAGAAATAACATATTTAACCTTCGGCTTAATCGCATTCAGTTTGGTGCTTAATTAAAATACCTAAACCGCGCTAATTTCCAAAATTCCGGGAGAAAAACGGGACAATTGCTAATCGAGATTTGCTTGTCACCATGAAGATGCAGGAGATTTGGATGAATTTATGCCCCAAGGGTAGAATGCGGATCCTTCCCGTTTTTGGCAACACTAGATTTCTGT